AGAGATATATATATATATTTTTTTTTTAATATAATATAATAAAAAGAGATATATATATATATATATATTTTTTTAATATAATATAATAAAAAGAGATATATATATATATATATATTTTTTTAATATAATATAATAAAAAGAGATATATATATATATATATATTTTTTTAATATAATATAATAAAAAGAGATATATATATATATATATATTTTTTTAATATAATATAATAAAAAGAGATATATATATATATATATATTTTTTTAATATAATATAATAAAAAGAGATATATATATATATATATATTTTTTTAATATAATATAATAAAAAGAGATATATATATATATATATATTTTTTTAATATAATATAATAAAAAGAGATATATATATATATATATATTTTTTTAATATAATATAATAAAAAGAGATATATATATATATATATATTTTTTTAATATAATATAATAAAAAGAGATATATATATATATATATATTTTTTTAATATAATATAATAAAAAGAGATATATATATATATATATATTTTTTTAATATAATATAATAAAAAGAGATATATATATATATATATATTTTTTTAATATAATATAATAAAAAGAGATATATATATATATATATATTTTTTTAATATAATATAATAAAAAGAGATATATATATATATATATATTTTTTTAATATAATATAATAAAAAGAGATATATATATATATATATATTTTTTTAATATAATATAATAAAAAGAGATATATATATATATATATATTTTTTTAATATAATATAATAAAAAGAGATATATATATATATATATATTTTTTTAATATAATATAATAAAAAGAGATATATATATATATATATATTTTTTTAATATAATATAATAAAAAGAGATATATATATATATATATATTTTTTTAATATAATATAATAAAAAGAGATATATATATATATATATATATAATAAAGAAAGTGGGGAACAAGAGTGTAATGAAAAGAAAAAGTATAGGTTGCATCGTGGGTCACATGGGTTGACAAGTGGACTGGTGTTGGTTCTGTTTTAAGAAAAAGAAAGATAAAATAAAATAAAATAAAAAGAAAGTGGGGTGAATGATGGGTTGTATGAAAAGATGGGAACAAGCCCATGTGGGTTAGGGAATTGCGATAATAATGTTTTGTGGGTGGTGGAAAAAGTAAAGTGAGAGAGTGAGATGTGTGGGTGTTTCCGAGAGATGGAGAGAGGTCTAGCTTGTCTGTGTGTGTCTTCAAGAGGGAGTTTACTCTCTCTTACCCTCCATCTCACAGCAGCCATGATAATTCCAGAGAAGAACCGTAAAGAGATCTGCAAATACCTCTTCCAAGAGGGAGTTTGCTATGCGAAGAAGGACTTCAACCTTGCGAAGCACCCAGAGATCGATGTTCCAAATCTGCAGGTGATTAAGCTGATGCAGAGCTTCAAGTCGAAGGAGTACGTGCGCGAGACCTTCGCTTGGATGCACTATTACTGGTACCTCACAAATGATGGGATCGAATTCCTCAGGACTTACCTCAACCTTCCTTCTGAGATTGTGCCCGCTACTTTGAAGAAGTCTTCACCATGTTGAAGAACACCATCCTCTGGTGCAAAGATTTCAGAATCGAGTCCCTGGTTGAAGAAGATCTGGGGACTGAGCTCGATAAGGTGGTTTTCATGCATGGATTCGACAAAGAAGGACACCCAGTTTGCTACAACGCTTATGGGGAGTTTCAGAACAAGGATTTGTATCACAACACCTTTTCTGATGAAGAAAAGAGACAGAAGTTCATCCGATGGAGGATTCAGTTCTTGGAGAAGAGCATCAGGAAGCTTGATTTCAGCCAGCTGGGCTAGTGATAGCGTGAGCTGGTGGCGCAAGGCAGCAGCGGCAGCGGTGTTGAAAATGAGTTGGTGTCGGTGTATGTGTAGAGTTTGTCAATAGTGAGGAGAGGAAGATGAAGTTACAGCAGTATTCTTCAAGAGGGGTTTAGTAGCAACGGAGTCAGGGTATGTGTAGAGAATTTTAGCGGACTAGGTTGAGGTCCGGCGGGCGGCCAAGGCGAGGTTGCCGCCCGCCGGGGAAACGAAAAATACTAAGTGCTTAACCTTGCTCTGATACCATGTTAGAATTCAATGTATAAAAAGAAATAGAGAATTGTATATTGATTGTTGAATGTTATTTATTACAAATGGTGAGGGGCTCCTTATATAAGAGATGTAGTGGAGTAGGTGGAGTAGGTGGTGGTGGTAGGTGTAGTAGGTGGAGTAGGTGATGGTAGGTTTTAACAAAGAGGTTAGTATCTTATTTCTTGGGTTCATAACAAGAAGAAAATGAAAATAGCTCTATCAAAGACTGATACAGACAACAAGCATTTTGATGGACACCACAAAAAAAACAAAACCGGTTCAAAAAACATAAAAACAGATTTTAATGGAATTGATTGGAGGAATTAGAAATAACGTCACTTCCAGAGTTTAGCAATCTTGTCATGGCTTGCCAAGGCAACCAAACCTGTCACTGTCTGTACAGCCAAGCCAGCAATCAGGCAAATGAGCCCCGTTTGGTAGAACTGTGGGAAAGTAATTATAACTTATAGTCTAACAGCTTATAACTTATAACTGTGAATATAAACTGATTTTTTACTTATAAATTAAGCTTCACCTCCCCCACTCAAAGAATAAGTTGATTTTTTATTTACAAAAAGCTATAAGCTGTATTGTTAAGCTGAACCAAACACATCAAAATAACTTAAATTAAGCTAAAAGCTGAAATAAGCTAGAAATAAGCCCTACCAAACATGAAAAGTCATCATCTTGTTTTCACTCTTGTTCCAAAGCTCTAGACTCTAAGCAAATTTCAACAGTAGAGTGCATCAAAAACAGAACCCAATGTCAATGTATGAGAATTTTACTCCATGAGAAAATTAGCAAAAAATTGCTGAATTGGCCTATTTCTTTCATGTACCAATTTAAGTTTTTTGAGAAATGAACTAAAGAATGAATGCTTTCTCAGCAGGAGAGGGAAAAAAAAAAAAAAAAGTCGAGAATCCTCTTTTTTCTATATCTTAACTGAAGTTTCTTCAGAACGCCCATTCAAACCAAAGCGGACAACAGAACAACCAAACTAAGTGGTCGTTTATGCATATGGAAATCCACTCAATTCATTAACAAAACAAGCAATTTGTAGACTCTGTATCTTAAATCCATATAGTAGATGGCAAATACAAAGTAGACACTGCGTGATATATAAATTAGAAAGATGTGTTCACAACTTCCTCAATAACTTTGTAAAGAAGTTTTGGCCTTTTCAAGGAAACTATTTGCAAACACAGTATGGATTTATTTTAAATAAGCGCAACACCACCTAATAAATGAAAAGTAGAATCAAAACAGTAAAAAAGGCGTATCAGAAAGTACACATGGGCACATGGCTTACCTGGTTACAGCCAATGACCAACAATGAAGAAAGTGGTTGTGTTTTAAGGATAACAGCAATCTCATTCCCCTATTTCAAAGGCAAGAAAAATCTGATTTGAGGTTGGATATAGAATTCAACAATACTTGGAATACAGAAACAAACACATATGAATCAGATCTTACAAGATTTATTAGTGGAGCACACTTCTCAAACATCTCTTCCATTTATTATTTTCAGTGTCCAATTACGTGTTTGACTTTTGTACCCGTAGACTTGTTACATGGGATTAGTTCTCTGCAGCATGACATGGCAAGTTCTTATTTGACTTTATGCGGTAATATTTCATTTTACATATGATAAATGCTAAAATGCACTTAAAATCACTTGCCATGTCACTCTAGAACAATTTAATATAAGACTCATAATTCAGGAGAATATAGCCTTCAATGGCTCACTTCATTCATATGGGATGTACATCTTGTTGCATACCCATGAGGGAGCTGCAATTCAGGAATCGGTCTGATCTTATCTTTGTTCGTTCTATTTGAAGAAAGGAAGGATCCCAAAGAATCAATCGTTGAATCTCTTTTTAGATAGAGCTGGATCCAAGTGTTGGCTCTGTAAGCGTCCTGTAGTAAGAGGAGCAGTTATGAAATTATAGACCACCCCATGACAATGCTTCACCCATAAGAGCATTTACCATTGACTAGAATGTTTTGTTGGCAGCACTCAGGTTTTGTTAGCATTGGCCTTTGAAGGATTAAAGCAAAGTAACATCACCTCACAAAATACTCAAGCTTAATATATCCTCGAATTTGTGCAAAATTCAACTTTTTATCAAGTCAGTGCCCCCATCTGTAGACATATTTCCTTTATCTTCAGATCTGAACCATCTTGAGCAAAGAAGATGTGGGCTTGAGAATCAATCTTAACCCAGCTACACCCTGGTTCCTTTTTAATTCCCCGATTGGACATCAATGCCCTAACCTTTGCAACATCATCCCATCTTCCTTTGGTTGCAAATATGTCAGATAACAATATATAATTATAGTCCATTTCAGGTTCAAGCTCAAAAAGTTTCTCTGCAGCTTTTTGACCAAATTCTACATTTCCATGCAATTTACTAGCCCAAAGAACCGTTTCCCAGATAAGAGTGTTCCGGGTAAGCTTCATCTCCTCAATGAAGTTCTCAACCTCATGAAACTTGCCTGCCCGAGAAAGGATATTGACCATGCAAGCATGGTGCTCAATTGCAGGAGTAATTCCATAAACTTTGTTTAGTGAGTCAAAATGCTTTTTCCCTTCTTCAACCAAACCCTTATGACTACACGCAGATAGTATGCCTATGAAAGTAACCTCATCGGGCACACAGCCTTCATCTAACATCAATTGAAATGCTTGAAGAGCCTTCTCTCCTTTCCCGTGTTGTGAATATCCACATATGATAGTGTTCCACGAGACTGGATTCCTTTCAATCATATCTTTGAAGATAGTCTCAGCATCTTCTATGGACCTACATTTTACATACATGTCAACAAGCGCACTAGCAACATATGTACCTCCTGAAACTCCAACCTTTAAAGCCAAGGAATGGAACTGCTTCCCAGTTTCTAAAGTTGCTAAATTGGAGCAACCACCCAAGCAACTTGACAGAGTGAATTCATTGGGTTTCAAACCTTCTTGTCGCATCTGATTGAAGCAATTAACAACCTTGTCACCTTCATCGTTCTGTGCATAACCAGAACAGATCACTGTCCATGTTAAAAGGTCTTTCTTGTGCAGTCTATTGAAGATTACACCTGCATCTTCCAAGCACCCACTGTTTGTATACATGCTAATGAGAGCAGTTCCCACATGACTATGACCATTGAGGCTCTCTTTAATAATATGGGCATGCACTTGTTTCCCAAAACTGGCATTCCAAAGGCTCGAACAACACCTCAGAATGCTGATAAATGTGTAAATGTCAGGCTTGAAACCTTCCACAAGCATCTGGTTGAAGATCTTTGGTCCTTGATCAAAGGATTCATTGTCATGGAATCCTGATAAGAGGGCATTCCATGAAACTACATCTCTATCAGTCATTGTATCAAAAACCCGGAAACCATCATCTACAGATCCAATTTTCATGTACATTGTGATCAACGCATTGCGGAGTAAAATTTCATATTCAAAACCATATTTGTATACACAAGCATGAATGCTTTCACCATAATGTGGGGTGAAATCGATGGCAGTTCTAACTATACTAGCAAGGGTAAATTGATTTGGTCTCAAACCAGTCTTCCTCATCAAGTGAAATAGCTTTGCTGCTTCTAGTTTCTGCCCTTGCTGATCAAAACAAGCAATCATTGCAGCCCAAGCCACTTTGTGAGGATTTTTTATCCTCATAAATACTTTGAGTGCATCATCCGCCAACTCACACTTGGAGTACATATCTACAAGAGTACAACTTACAAATTCATCAAGTTCACACCCAATCTTGATTGCCATAGAGTGCACAACCCTGCCAGCTCCCAAATTCCCAGAATTGGCAAAACCCTTGAGGGCAGTAGACAAAGTAAACTTGCTAAACTTCATTTTCGACTTCATCATCCCACAAAACATTTTCAAAACATTTTCCTCATCGCCCATCTGAGCATATCCATTAAGCAATGCATTCCACGACACATCATTTTGCTTGGGCAAGCAAAAGAACACTTTATCTGCACATTCCATCTCACCACATTTTGCAAAAAGGTCAACAAGAGCAGACCCGACATAAATATCTGAGAAAAACCCAAGCTTAATTACCTCTGCATGTACCTGTTTCCCAAACTGTAAGTCCAAGCAAATGGAACCAGCTTTCAAGCAAGTTGCTAAGCTAAACTCGTTTGGTCTAATACCCTCATTCCGCATCTCAGAAAACAAAGGAATACAATCATTTCCATACCCATCAGCCACAAGCCCAGAAATCAGAGCTGTCCAAGACACGACATCCCGTTCAGGCATTTCATCAAGCACCTGACGCGCAAAATTAAAAACATGACATTTCGCATAGAAATTAATCAATGAAACCCACAAGTGCATATCTGGGTCTATCCCATTCTTGATGACCTGACCATGAATTGCCTTCCCTTCATTCAAAGACGCTTTCAAAGCACATTCTCCGAGCTTTTCCGAATACCCTTTAAGCCTCTCCATTCTATTTCTCGCATTTCTTTCAGGCCAATCAGGAGTAGACGACGACCTTGTCGGTATTTCCTCAAACCCAATGTGAAGCTGAAATTGTGGGTTTTCGAAATCATCCAAAGCCGAATCAGTAGATAGCTGTTTTGGTTCTCTAATAACGTTCAAAGCAGCACAAAATGATGAACAAGAACATAGAGAAACCCACAATGGTCTTGAGACTGTGTAAATAGTTGGAATTGGGTAAATGAGACCTCGAAAAATTGGTGCTGGGAAACCCATATTTCGAGAGAGAAAAGTCGCATTGCATTAACACTAAACCCAAAGCTTCAGTGAGTAATGTATCAAATCAAAGCGCATCAACTACGGAACACAGAGAAACAAGAACATGAAGATGGGGGTTGAGTGTGTGTGTGTGTGTGTATCTATACCTGTATATATGTGTGTTATGTATCTTTGTATGTTTCTCAAGTTCAAGTCTTTTTGTTCGCAGCTTCTGAACCTGATAGAGAAACGAAGAACATAAAAAAAGTGGAGCATGAAAAAATATCATGAAATTTATGATGGAAATTTTTCATCTTTGATTAGTGATTAGCGCGTGATATTTTATTACAAGTGTAATTTAAAAAGGTATAATTTTTTTAGGAAAAATTAGTCTAGAGCTCCTCTCTCATTTTTCGTAATGAAAGAGATTCATAAAATTATTTTTTTAATATCTAAGGTCCCTAAACATATATCAGAGAAATTTGACTCTTCGTCTCTACTCTACTGTCTCTCTCTCTTCTACCATCACCCACTGTCTTCCAGATCCAAGGCAACAAGCTCTGCTCACCCACCCTTCTCTCCACCCTCCTCTACGACCTCTTTCTCAACAAGCTCTGCTCTGGTCCTGTTGCCGGTGCTACGTATTCTGGTCTGCATCAACCGAAATACATCATTGCCCTTCCGTCACTCTCTCTTCCATCGCCGACACCATTTACGACGGTCTCGTCTCCGCCAATCAGATTAAGGATGCCAATTCCATCTCTGACCCTTCTCTGCTCGATATCAGTCAGACCCTTGTTGTTCCTCTTCCTTGTACTTGTTTCAATGGGACTGATAATTCATTGCCCGCCATTTATGTCTTATGTTGTTCAATCCCTAGATATTATGGCTGGGATTGCCTCCAGGTATTCCACTAGTATTACTGATCTTATGACTGTCAATTCGTTAGGGAGTGTAGCTATTGATGCTGGTGACATTCTTGCTATTCCATTAACTGGTAATTCACTTTCATCTTTTTATTACACCATTACTTTATTTTTTGAGATTTTGGATGTAAATGAAAAAACATAATAGGAGCAGAGAGAGTTAAAGCACATTATGAAAACACATTTGATAAATTCCGAAGTCAGAGAAATTTGATTAAAACACATTCCAAAGTCAGAGAAATTGGGTTGAGAATTTCTCTGGTAATTTAGCTCACAGAACATCTATTTCGATTATTTTTTTTTCATTTGAATTGAATTTTCTCTGGGTTGAGAATTTTCTCTGGGTTGAAAATTTCTCTGGAGAAAATTCATGACCTTAGATCACACTTTGGGGTCATTCCACAAGATCCAACTCTCTTTTGTGGGTCTGTGAGATTCAATCTAGACCCCTTATCAGAACACACTGATCAGGAAATATGGGAGGTAAGGTTTCTAGATCTAACTAGAGCTAAAAGACCAAATTTTGACTGTTCTACTAACACCAAAAAAAAAAATAAAAAAAATAAGGGTCATAAAACTACTATTCTAAGTGGTTATACATGTTCTTGAATTGTTATACTAATTAGCTGTGGATCAGAAATACTAATCACTAATTGTACAGTGTAAATGGCATGCAAAAATTAGAAAAGAGCCAGAGAAATTTGTGCAGTGAGAGAATTACTCACTCGACTTCATTTCCATGATTGCTTTGTGTGGACGTCCCCGAACGTCCCAGGAGGGAAATCTCCCCCGTTTTGTTCATTGGGCTTACTACAGTTCAGGACTCAAAGTCATAGTCTTGTACCTAATCTCGCAGAGTACAATGCAAGACCGATAAATCGTCAAAGAGTCCAAATCCGGCAAATCATTTTTGAAAACAGATTTTTTTGAAAGAAGTGCCAAACATGGACTACTTTGCCAGATACAGAGTCGCCACCAAAATATTTTATTTTGGGAGAAATTTAGGAAATCATGACTCGTTGCTTAAGGTCGCGTGTCCGTCATCACCAAAGTTGCCTCGGCTCGGGAACTTGGGTACGATTGGGGAAGGTCACTTCGTGAGCACCCCCGCTCGCCCGATCAGAGATCGGCCTCTACTAATCATGATATCGAGTTTTGAAAACATTATGCGTTCTTATTCCGGTTATTAGCCTAAATTTACTATGTGATGTGCACAACACAAAAGTATAGACTAGATCGCCTAATTTGGAACAAAGCATTGCAAATCTGCTCATTTGAAAGACAATTTGAAATTTGCTACTCGCAAGTAGGCTAAAACACGGATTTCAACGAGTTGTTCCAACTCAAACAATCCAACCTTCACCCACAGGCATTCAGGCAGTTATATCAACTAAGCACATAGCCACATGGTAAGCATGCTGTCATGTTAACATTCTCACTCATGCGAGATGCTAAAGCATAAATACTCACATTGTATTCCAAGCCAAAACAGAAAACTTGTTAGTAATCAAATGTATGATCCAAGTCCATGTTAGAATGGCTAATGCATCGCAGGCAAAATGCAACTAGAATAGGCTCGGCTAATCTATGAATGGCATGTGAAATTCAACAGATAACACGTATTCAAGTTAGATTTGAAATACTATGCAGTTAGTATGATGCGCCGAGCCCGGTGCATGCAATACAGATGAATGAATGCACGCATGCATAGCATAAAGTATGCTAATCGAAATATGCCCTAAATCTAACCATTGTAAGTGGCTAAATAAAAGGGAGAAAGAAATGGGGTTGGAAGACATGCACACACGCACCCACACTTATTACAATTGCGCCCTCTCTCGGAGGGTCCGAATGAATAATACAAGCCACCTAATTAACTAACTCACAAGCTAATTAATTATTACAGAACCGAATGAATAACTAGCTACAACTAATTATTACACAACTTAATTAATTAACAAATTAATTAACTATCAAATGAAAGACAAAGGGAAAGTAGTAAACGGTGCTATTCCAGCTCTGTTTGAAGAGGGGAGGCATGCATGCTCACTTCGGTTCTTCGCTTCGGAAGGCCTTCCGGTTGCTCTTTAGAGGCTCTGTTTGCAGGGTGTTTTCCAGTGCTTGTTGCTGGACCTTACCAAAACACTGCAGGGGAAGTCACCAGTGGCCTGCCGGCCAAAGAAGGATCACTGCCGGCCAAAGATAGTCCATTGCCGGCCAAGGGTGGCACACTGTCGGCCATCAGTGGCAGGCTGCCGGCCACTACTGTGCTGTGACACCAAACTGCAACGAAGCACAAAATAGAGGAAATGGAGGGTCTCCCAAAGACATGTATGCACCATGGCACTCCAAATCACCTCAAAACATCAAGGGAGAGGCCTAGTCGGATCCACGACCATCAATCACGCATCCCAATGCCATGATGGCCAAAGATCCAACTTATGCCAATCAATATGAAAATAAATGCACAAATAAAGCAAGTAAAGCCTAGAACTCTATCATGAATCATCAAGAGCTTCGGCGACGAGAATTGAGACACGTTCCACACTTGAAGTATGAAACGCCCCTCGTTCTCCGTGCTCGGATTAACACTTAATCCAAGCAATGCAACACATAAGCATAGCAAACATGCAACATGACCTAAAGTTGCAAACATGCAACTAAACCAAGCATACAACAAGCATATAAGCATGATGTGAGGTGATGACCTTGGAACACATGACAAAATGCAACATGAACATGTGAGCATGCAAGGTATGCAAAGCTTAAACAAGTATGCGACAACATACGAAATGAAACAAGCATGCGACAACATGTAAGATGGGCTTACACCAAAGATGGACGGCTCTCAACTAGGTCCAAATCAGTAGCCAAAGCGATGAATTAAGCCATACAACACACTCAAGCATGCGAAATGCGAAAGGTTCATCAAAGGGGTCTAAAAGGGCAACTCTCTACTCTGCGCCAAAAGTGACAAATGTGCTAGTGTAACAACACTATATGCACTGAAATGAGATGATAAATGATGCCAAATCATTTAAATAGCTCAAGGATAGCATGCGCGAATCACCGAAACACGAAGCTTGCAAGGCCAATTACACTACAGCTATACGAAGCATGAAGGATATGGCAAGGGCAACCCAAAATAGTCCTAGTACATACTGATATGAGACTAAAACATGCATGGAAGTAAGCCAAAGCAAGTTAGCATACAATGCTAAAACATAGGACATGCAAGGCTACAAAAGAGGCAATGCACTGAACCTATTAGAACCAATCATGGCATGACTTGGACAACCAAAAATAGAGTTACATCATGGTATATTAGGACCCAAAATGTACTGAAATGATGAGCCAAAGGCTTAGGCTAAGCGGCATGCGCAAAAATCCATTCTTGAAGCATAAAGCACAAGCTATACAAAGCATTCAAGGCATGTCAAATGTGAGTGAACAACAACATTTCATGGACTGAAATAGCATATGGAATGAGGGCAAAGTATGCAAACATCACATGTATGGCATGGTAGGGGCCTCAAAACCCAAGACTAGCCTAAGCATTTACACTATAGCTATACAAAGCATGAGTGGTATGGACATGGCAGCCTAAAACAGTCCTAGAACACTTCAAAATAAGCATAAAATCAAGTTTGAGAAAAACCAAAATATGCTAGTATGATGAGTCAAAATATCATGCACAAAGGGGCTAGTAAACATGATTTGTTCTACACCTATATGGAGCATGCAAAGGATGATTAAACCAACTATGGATAGGGTCATAACATGCCAAATGATGACCAAATACATGCTGAAATGTAAACCAAACAAGCTAAAATGACATGGCATGGCATGGAGCATATGAAGCTAGTTTAGGAGATTTACATTACAAGTGCATCATGCAAGCATGGGGTAACAAAACTAACCCAAAACAGGTTCATGGCATGGTAAAACATCACCACAAATGGACTGAAATGGACTCAACAAAAGCCAAGTACACATGCTACTTTGATGAGCTATGGATAGAGTTACACTACACATGCTAGATGCAAGCAAGACATGACCAAACTAGCCTTGGATAGGGCCAAGGCAGGTCCTAGAAGTCATAAAAATAGGCCAGAACCAAACCTCAAAAATGCATGGAGGGATGGTCCTTTGGAAGGCCAAAAATGCAAGCAAAGAGGAACACAAAGAGAGGGGACTATTCCCCCTGATTTAGGACCTAAAAACCACACCTCTACCACCAAAATCCCACTAGATTTCAGTGGTAGGAAGGCCAAACCAAGGCTAGCTCGGAGGCCTCAAGATATGGCTTAAAACAAAGCCAAACAAAGCATGCAAGGGGGCTA